CCTACAAACGAATTGCGAAAAAAACAATTGTTGACATATTTTGAGGTTGCCACATAGAGAAAAAAAACATTATAAATTTTAAACTTTAACTTTATATTTTAATTGCAAAGCAACCACAACTTTAGAAGACTGCAAACAAATTATAAAAAAATGGTCAATTGTTTGAGCTTGCCATATGAACAAAGTAAAAGCGCATTAGATTCTAAAAACTATGTAGTTTGTATTTTAATTTATTGCACTTCTTTAAGTGTTCACAAATAAATTGAAAAAAAAACTATTTAAATTTTTTGAGATTGCCATATGGAAAAAACCATATATTGCTATATTTTAGAATATATTTATCTGATTATTGCTAGTGATTTCAAGAATATAAGCAAATTGCAAAAAAAAAAAAAAATTTGAATTTTTTATCGTTGCTATATGGACAAAAAAGAATATTGCTACACTTTTCGTTTATATTTAAATTATTGTTATTAGGCTTTCAAAGTCTACAAATATGTATGTAATTTGAAAAAGAAATCAACCAATTGTTTGAGGTTGCCATATGGACAAAAAAAGAAAAGCAAAATATGCTATATTTTTAGTTTATATTTAAATGATTGTTGCTTGGCATTTAAAGCCAAGATACAAATTGATTGGAAAAAAAATAGTTTTTTTCATTGCCATGTGTACAAAACAAAGCGTTATAAACTATAAATTTCAACTTTATATTTTAATTGATAGTAAGCTGCTTTAAATGCTCTCAAATAAATTTAAAAAAAAAATTAATTTTTTGTCGTTGCCATATGGTCAAAAAAATTATTATAAACTATAAATTTTAACTACATATTTCAATTGATTGCGATTGCTTTAAGTGCCTTCAAACAAATTGCAAAAGAAAGGAAATTTTAATTTTCTGGCGTTGCCATATGGACAAAAGAAAACATTATAAACTATATATTTTAACTTCGTTTTCTATTTGATTGTGGTTGCTTTAAGTACAAAAAAAATGTTTGTAAAAAAAAATTTTTTTTAATTGTTAGAGGTTGCCATATAGAAAAAACAAACCAATATTTTTAAATTTTTTAGTTTATATTTCAATGACTGGTGCCACTAATTTAAACAATGATAATCCTACAAACAAATTGCAAAAAAATAATTAAATTAAATTAATTGTTTGGTGCTGCCATATCGACAAAAAAAGAATTATAAGCCATACATTTTAAATTCATATTTAAATTGATTGTGACTGCTTTAAACTCCTACAAACAAATTTAAAACAAATGTATTGTTTTGAGGTTGCCATATGAAATTTATTGCTGTTTATACATATTTAAATTGGTTGTGGCAGCTTTAAACTGCTATTAATTAATTTTTGTTCATTTTAATTTTTCAATGTTGTCATATGGACAAAATTTTACATGAAATTTATATTTAATATCGAAGTGCCGTTCAGCTGCAGAGTTTCGGTTTTCTTGGCTCGAATACTCTTTCCCGATTAATATTAAAACCACAAATATATTTTATTTTTTTTAAGGACAGTTATGACACTTAATTACTTAAATAATTGAAGCAAAAAAAAAAAAAACTGTGGCATCTCCTGTAATTTTAGTTTTACCTATTGCTGTACGCCTACGTTGACCTTTTTGGCCTTACCGCCATTGCCTTTGTTGTTTTTTTGCGCCCCGTTTTGTGCCATTTACTTGTCCACCATAAATTTAACAGTCATTATTTTGATGGCAATGGTTTAATGTTTATTTCAGTTGTGTATTGCCATTTATTATGGGGGTGTTTCCTGTCGAAATGTCAGTTGATATATCCCAAAGGTTGTCAGCTTTCGGACATACGTACACTTTTTTTGTTCTTTGTGTGTGTGTCTCTGTTGAAAAGGCATGTCGTGCCTGATTGTTTGGCGACGCTGCTGCTTCATATTATTTACTTGTCAGTCTGTCAATTGTTTGTATACATGTGTCTGTGTGTGAATGGGGGGAGACTTTGCAATGGTCGAATTATAACTATTATACCCGTACTCGTATATGTTTGTGCAAGCGTGTATCGGTTGTGACCTTGAATGCTGTTTGCGCTGTTGCATAAGCGTGATTTGGGCGTTTCAATTGACATGTTTGTTGCTGTCGCAATTAATGTACTATATATTGCATGATAAAATATATATTTATTTAAATACATCCTCTTTAGTGTTAGCGACACTTTCTTTCAGCCACATGTTGTCATTGTTTGTCAAAGTGACCTGTGTGGCAGAAATACATATATACATATGAGTATACCACATACATATACATATATGTATGTATCGTGTGTGTTCCTTTAATGTTTTTCTCTGCTTCAACATTTCTATTTACATTTCGGTTGGCATGATTGTACTTGAACTTGTCAACAACAGAAGATAATCGCCAGCCGCTGTCATTGCCATCAAGGTAGCGCTGACTATCGCGATGGGCGCTGAAAGAAACCGTTCCTTTTAGTTGAAAACACACAAAAGTTATTTAAGTAAAGCCTTTCTCGTGGAATAAATCTATACACACCTACATACATTAATATATACTCATTTGCAAAAATGGTTCCGAGTTAGTAAATGTTGGCAAGTCCATTCTGTGTTTTCGTTTCTTTCGCCATATTCATATGACAATTGACACTCAAGCATAGTACGGTTAGTATAGTGCGTCACGTTGCCATTTGTCTTCGCGGCCAAGCGGCTTAATATTTATATGTGCGTGTGTGTGTATTCGCATGTGCCTTTATTTGTATTTGTACACACTTAAGCACTTAGTGTATGCATACTTATTGGCGTATATGCTTTGCTTGCATATGGACGGTATTAAGCTCACACGTGGACCTGTCATGAGCGCTGCACTCAAGTGAATAAATAGCTGTATTTCCAGACTAGGCAGCTGCTAGTGCTTTTTAATTTTATTGTTACATTTATTGTTGTAAGTTTTATATTTTATATGGTACTTTATAATTTGTTTCCTCTTGAAATAGAAATGCATAAATTTTCCTCTTTTTCAGTGCCAAATATAAGTGAAATTTTTGTATAGAGGAAAATTGTTTGTTCAGAAGTACGAAGCAGACATCTTAAAAAAGGGTATTTTTGGGAATTACGAAAAAGAAAACACCAACTACTGTGGCAATTGTTTTAAATGCTCAAGGTATATTTACACATAGTTTGAGAGGAGACGGTTAAAGTTATGAGGAAAAAAATTAAATATTCCTAAAGTTACAAACGATTTAAGATGGCGATAAAAAAAAGCTAGAAGATATTGTGCATAAATCCTAGCATCGAAAAAGACATGAATTGACTAAAAAGTGGCAAGGTTTTTACCCAGAATTTTCCCCGAACCAAACCAAAAGTCTTCTAAGTCATTCAGAACTATTCACAGTACATGCAGAGTTTGATAGTGATCGGATCACTTGTCACCCATTAATCACTCATGCAAATTTGAAAAATCTTGCTCCAAAAAAAAAAAAGGCATTAAAGAGGCAATACCAGTGTAACCCATGAAAAATTAGACAATTTTCGTGAATTTTTAAAAGAAAGTACTCTTTATAATGATTCGAAAATGCCTTTCATATGGTTATAGAACGTCACATTTTCCGACAATATCTATGTTATAAAATTCATCATCCTAAAAAAAGTTTAAAAACGATTTTTATTTATAATTGTGTAACAAAACTTAATTTTTTCATCTTCAGAGTATTTGTTAGTAAGTACTAATAACATTTCTTATCTCCAGTGAGAATCATTTTGGTACATTTTCGCTTGTGTAGGACCTATGAGGCAGGTATCTCTGAAGCGTCCAACAGTAGCCTGCCACCATTCACATATATGTGTCTTGGTGAGATAGTTCACCTTGCTCTTCACTAACATCTTCTAAATTTTCTGAAGAAAATATACTTTAATATTCATTGGGCAATATATTACTTGAAATTTGAAATAAATTTACTATATCTTTGACGATTTCTTTGTAGTTAGGGTCTTTGTTATTGCCTAACATTTCTTTATGATTTCTTTAAAGGCAATTCAAATCTTTGAAAATGAGCTGTGGATCAGCCATAAGTCGTCAAGGCACTTAAAGCCACGTAATTCTATTGAAATATGAAAAAAATTTTACACTAGGTGTGTCGTTGAAATTAAAACCACTGAGGTTGGTTTGTTCTTTGATAAGGAGTGGCATATGTAGAAGGTTACTTTTCGAATTCTTAAGTCGGCACTTTTCAAAATGTTGCAATGTATTTCAAATATTTTTATATATTTGCATGAAAACATTCCAATAGGCGAGACCTGGTACAAAAATATTTCGTGCATAAATCTGTTTTATACTTATTTAGTCCATGATCCGTCGAGTCGGTGGTACTGCATTCTTCTAAAAGTGAATTCATATCTAGTATAACATTTAATTAGTTACAAGCCATTTTACATATTTTGCTTTCACCACACAACAATATGGCAAACGAATACGTGTGAATTTAAAATACTCTCAAGGGCATAAAAAATGCGTGTTTTAATTTTTTAGTTTTGGTTTAATTGACGGATGGATGTATGATCATTGTAATATTTACACACACGCACGCAGTTTCTGCATATACTCCTCAAATCATACATATATATGTATATTATATATGTATCTACACAATGACTATTTCTCCACTTGTAGCGAAGTATTTACACAAAGTCAAAAGCTCAAAGTGAACATAATAAATGTATATCAATTCACCAATACAATGAACTAATGCTCTGAGTAACTATTATTTTCGTTAACTAGTCTATTTACAAATGTTAATTTCATATAATTATATAATTTGTTATATATTAATAAAATATCATGCGTTTGAGTTATTGTCTCTTAGTATTACAGAGATATTATTCGATATTAATTAATAAGCCTGCAACTAAAAGATTACTTGAAATATCTTCTCCAGTAAATATGGTACTTAATACTAAATAGGTATTTTATAATTTATAAAAAATATATTAATAAGTAAAAGAGATTTATTTAACATACCTGCATCGTCGTATCCAATATGATATTACAGCGATACCGGCTATGACAATTGCACCCAAGGCACACCAAAATATGGTCTGTAAAGTAAATAAGAAATTTGAAAAATATAAATTCTTCCACTTAAAGATTATAAATTGGCGTAAATATTTGCATATTTATTCAATAGTGCGTATTATTTACCAGTTAACGACATTCATTCTGAATTATCGACAATTTCAAGAAACACAATGAGCTGGTGTCTCGCACGAAATGTTACGCGTATGTGTTTGCGTGTATGGTTGTATGTGTATTTTTGTTTCTGTAACGTGTGCAATTGCAACTGGTTATCATGGTTAAATGGGCTTGGCTGATTGTGCAGGATTATTTTCACATGCATTTACTTTTTTAGCTCAAGGTGGGTATTTTAATTGGCGTAATATTTCTTACTGCGTGAAATTTAATAGTGGCAACAGGGTCGGTCATCCTTGAAATTGAAGGTTTTAGACTTGTAATAACATTTTTCAATTAATTAAATTAAATTTACCAAGGAATTGTTATGCTGAATGTATATCACAATTTATTTAATATAAACTATGAGTGGTATAAAGCCTTCAAAGACGGTCGCGAGACCGTTGGAGACATGCCTCGTTCTGGACGCCCTTCGACCTCTTCAAACTGTTGAAAATATTAAAAAATTGTAGGGTATGGTGCTTGAAAATCATCCGGGGAGTGCGTTTGAATGATTTTGGTGGATATTTTAGTATGAAGCGCGTAGTTGCTCGACTCGTCCCGAAAAAGCTGAACTTTTTTCAAATCGATCCATGATTCTGACCGACTTTAAAGTCAAAAAGGCATTGAATACCATCGATCAACCAACGTATTTACCAGAATTGGCTTCGTGCGATTTTTGCTCGTTCCCCAAACTGAAATTGCCGCTCCATGGAACCAGTTTTCAGGCGATCGAAGAGATAAAATTAAATTCACTGAAGTAGCTGAAGGCCATTCCAAAAAGAGCTTACGAAAAGCGTTTAGAGAAGTTGGAAAAAAAATTCATGAATTATGATTAAATATTTTGCGTTTTATTTACATTTTCCGGGTACTTATACTGCCTTTTTGACAATCCCGTTTTAGAGTGATATGCCCAGAAACTAAGTCCCAGACCAGTAAGTCTCAAATTTTCAAGCCATTTTCCATCCAGGGGTGCCAGTGGGATTGGAAATAAAATACCTAAGCTGATTGGTGTAAGGTTCGAGGCGCTTTGTCGATTTTTGTTAGATATAATATGAATATACGACACTAGTGTTGCTCATACGCCATGCCGCTCAAGTGCTTTTCCTTAAGATTTCGTACAAAATGTTTTGATAAAAAATGTTGAGTTCGTTAATTTCGAATTATGCTTTATGCTGCATTCTATTTCGAAAATAATGTGAAGTTGGCCTTTAGATTATTATTAAAAAAAAATTCAATTCATAGCGTAATCAGCAGATTATCTTAAACCTGAGATCTAATAAAAAACCCATAACTTTTGAATTCAACAGAAGCTTTAATTTAGCATAATTGGGTGAAAACGATTTATGTTAAAAATACACCATTTTTACCGTTAACATGTTGCCATTGAAAGGTAATTTCATAACATCACACTCATAGAAGACCCGACCACTGACATTATAATTTTCGCTAATTAACTGTTAACAACATAAGTCACTCAAAGCAGCCTAAATATGCGTTTCTGCGATATGACTGGCAACGTTTGTCTGCCAAGAAGCAATGTAATTACACCGCACACCCCTACTTGATTGCCATCAATTGTGCACGCTAATGACGTCTTAATATCTCGCGCCTACGGTGCATAGAATCATTTAGACAGCCGCCTGCTGTCATTATGTAGCAAATTGATGACAATTTAAGCACGAGTTCTGTGCGGTCTTGCATGCAAGAATTCAATTCTTTCAAGCCAACTGACAACTTTTTGGCATGCCACACGCGCAATGAGTTGGCGAAAAATGAAACCACATAACGGGCAAACAACAAATAATACCAGCAAACAGTAGTTAATGGACAATATTTAGGCAGACTTTGCACATTGCACTGTGGCTGACATTTTCGGTTATCTTTTGGCATGCATTCGCTTTTCCTACGTCTCTTAGATGTTTCAGTTGTATTGGCACGCTGCCAAAGCGTACAAAGTGAGTGCTTGGGTGCATGTGTGTGCTGGCTCAGCAAAACTGGAATGCGCTCGATTGCAAACCAAAAATGAACTTTCAAGTGACGATTGATTTTTATTGTTTTACAATATTATATTTTTTGGCAGTCAACAAATCAACAGTATCACGGTGTGGCAACACCATGTATCCGGGCACTGATGAAAACCCTAAATGGACTGCAAACGCAGACAAATGTGTGTATACTATATATGAAACGAATGTTAATAGTAACATCATCTAAATATTTACATTTGACGTTTAATACATAAATATGTTTGGTCTAATGCAGCACGAGTTGTTGTGCAAAAGTTTGCTACAGTGCTGCCATTTTAAACCAATATTAATTATACTTGTATGTACTTGAGAAAAAAGTGTCCCTTAATTTTAGGAAGCAACTAGAAAAACGTTAACTTCAGTTGCACAGAAGCCATTAAATAAAAATTCAATCAAAATACAAAAGAATCCTAACAAGAAGATGGTTTTGGTCGGCCAGCTTGTATGGCGGCCATATGATATAGTGATCCGATATTAACCATATTTTGGGAAATTGCGCCATTACCATAGGTAATTAATAGGAACAATTTTTTGAAGATATCTCTTCAAATGGAAAAGTTTTCCATACAATCGTTTGATTCCGTTCTTTCACTTTGTATGGTTGCTAAACGCTAAAGTGATCTGATCTGAACTATTTTTTCGGAGATTATGCTATTGCTTTTGACAACAATTCCTGTTAAATTTTTAGAAGATATCTTGACAAATGGAAATGTTTTTCATACACGTACTTGTTTTCCAAACGTTTAGTTTGTATGACGGCTATGTATATGCTACAGTGATCCAATATGAACTATGAGCAGCTTCCAGAAAAGACAAGGGCGTATGCGAAATTTTAGGTCGATATCTCCAAAACTGAGGGACTTGTTCGCATATACCATATACAGACGGACGAACGGAAAGGCGGCCTGACATGGTAAATCGACTCTGCCCGTTTCCGGATTATTTATTTATATATTTTGTAGAGTCTCCAACGTTTGCTTTTGTATGTTACAAACATCGTGTCGAAGTTAATACATACCCTGATCAGGGCGTGAACATTTTTTATTCTTGAGCTGTACTGGAAACTGTTCTACATGATATGCTTCAAAAGTATATTTGATTTTATGATCAAAATATAAATATTCAATATAAATTTTTAATAAATTTGTCATTGTTTCCACAAATGTTCAAAATTCTTTCAAAGTTTTCCGTTTATCTGCAAAGCGACAACACTGGAATATCGTCGTGAGCTAACTAGCAACTCAACCTATGTGTACAAATTTACTTGGCTTCCGCACATAGTCTGCGCAACGGCGGTAATACTCGTGAGTAAATACGCCGTTATTCAGCGTTGTTCATTTAATCTGCTCCTGTGTATGTGTGTGTGTGTGTTTAATGTGCGCCCATTGCATTTGCATGCAAATTATTTACCCTCACGTATTGTGGTTGTTTATCTGTGCATGTTTGCTTTATTTAGTTGTTTGTGTGTTCTCATTCATTAGAAAATTCATTGTGCATGCAAATTCGCTATTACCGAATAAATATAAATTTGAAATTAATTTCGCGCACACACAACCACGAAATACAATGAAGTATTAATTTTTTTTGGATAAAATTCGACGCGTGAAGCATACATTTATTTTTATCATAGTGGTTTTTAATAGATATGGATGGAGGATAAAGTAAATTTTTCAGTTTTAAATCGTAAAATTAAATGGTATAATTATTTTTGGAGGAGTGTATTTGTGCTCTATCATAAAAAAAAATCAAAAATATGTATAAATAGTTTCGAAGAGTTTGGCGTGGCAATTTCCCTCTAGTGACAGGCATATGAAACCACTACAATTAACAGGTAATTTCTTTTCTTTGGCAATGGAGAAATCGCTTATAAATAAATTTATTGAAGGAAATTTTTGGTGAGCGCATTATATCGTCGATCTGTGGCCCTTTAAGATATTTTTTGTGGATTTTTGTTAAGTCGCTTACATAGGCAGATAAGCCGCAGGCGATTGACGCCTTGACCCTTCATTGTGTGAAGTTAAGAAATATGAAAATCATTTTTGGTAATATATGTGTTATGGTTAACAAAGTTAACCTTTCGTGTTTAATGAAGACATTTAAATTTTCGTTAGAGAAATATTTTGCAAGGCCAATAAAAGAATCGGAAGTTTTTTCTACTGTCAAATTAATTTTCGTGCATAAGTGAAGCCTTAACTAACCTAAATTGAGCTATATTAGAGAGCTGATATTTTGGAGAACTCTGAGAAATTTTTTTTAACAATTTTGGAAATTTCGTAAACTTGGAATTTCTATACAAATCTCGATCTGGATATTTCTAAAGTTCTGTAGAAATTTCTATAAAATTTTTTTCAAAATTTGTTGTATGAAAATCCTTTCAAAAATTTTGACTTTTGTGTTAGTATTAAAAGTTGTTTATGTGAGTATATAAATTTGTACTTACAATCCAATAGTGTGATTCAGCACGTTCTCTCACATTAACTTTCATTTCACCTTGATCGCCTGTGTCACAGAGTTAATCTATAAAGACAAGAGAATTTATATTTTTGTTATTTTTATGATATTTTATTAATTTTATTATAAACGATTAAATGCGTTTATGTATTTATATAATAAAACTCTTTTTGTTATATGAATTATTATAAATAAAAAAAAAAAAAAATATAGGTTCCCGAACTGGTCGTTCGCTTTGCAGTCTATTAGTTTTCAAAACGATAAAGTAGTTTATATTGGGTGGTCGAAAAAGTCTTTTCGTATTTATTATCATATCATATAGTGTTGGAAATGTGAGATTTTAAACTTCATTTAGCACAAACAAAAAAAAAAAAAAAAAAATAAAAAAGTTGTTACTGCTGTTCAAAAATGAGTGAAAATAATGAAGAAATTCGCTATATTTAGACATGTTTGTGTAAAACAGGGAAGAATTCCACTCATGCCATTAATGAGATTTGTGAAGTTAACGGAGACGATGCTGTATCAGTTCATGTAGCACAATGTGGTTCGCTCGCTTCCGTTCAGGAAATTTCGAAATTCCGAAATTTCGATTTACACTGAGGAAAGTTTTACCCTGATGAAATAATGTCTCTAAAAGAAAAAAAATGTCAAACAGTGGTCGATCAAAATGGTACATATTTGTTTATTTATTTCTTGGTATAAATAAAACAAATGGTTGAGGTTTGATTAGAAATACGTAAAAACTTTTTCGACTAGCTAACATTATACAAAATAATGGAAAATAGACAAATACTGGGACTAAAACACGATTGGTAATTATTATCGAGAAATAATATGTTGACCGTGTAACGAAGAAAAGAACTGGCATTGACTTAAGCAATACGTATTGATATGAATGTGCTTTTAATGAAATATTCTACACAGGAAAATTGTATTGAAAATAAATTAATATTACTTTTTATAAATTATTTCCAAGCTTTTATTCTTAACGATATTTCCATATGGATTACTTGCATAAAAAAATCCACAATGCGTTTTAATTCTTTAATTGATAAAATAAACTACTTCACTATTTTAATTTGATTGAATTTTAGTAAAATAAATTTTCCTTTAATACAAATAAAAGCAAAAATTTTACTTAAATTTTTGCAACATGAATTCAAAAAAAAAAAAAAAAAAAAAAAAAAAAAAAAAAAAAAAAAAAAAAAAAAAAAAAAAAAAAAAAAAAAAAAAAAAAAAAAACACAAAAAAAAAATACGTAAAGAAGTTATAAGTGCCAAAAATTTTAACTTCTCTTTAAACTATTGCACCATAAATTAAAAAAAAAAAAACATGAAGACCCTATAGATGCCAAAATTTAATTAAATCCGTGATACAATTTATGCCTTTATTAAATTTGATTTAAATTTTTATTTATAAGCCATTTTTGTCTTAATTTTTATTTTTGTTAACATGCTTTTAAAGCAGCTATAAAGCAGCTTTGTTTACATTTCACACCCACACAAAACGCAATATGTGGAGGCGTAGCGCCAACGGCAGTCATGGGCAGACGCCCACATGCCTCGCAATGTGACTCAATTTAAGCGAATTGTTTGTCATTGCGGCACAGTTCGTTGCTATTATTTGTCTCCCCAACTGTGGCGGCAGGAGCCCGTGGGATTGTTGGTAATCGAATGGCAGCAAACTTTTGACATTTTCGCAAAGCCTACACAAAACGCCATTCCGCCATTCGGTGATGCCTGTCAAAATGTTATGATTACTTTTAAGTAATAAATATGTTTGCGGCGAAGGCGTTAGTGCTGTTTATCGTTGAAGTTTAGGCGTATTTGCGTTATTTGCAGCTTTCAACGTGGCATTTTTGAGCGTTGAGCTTCTTGGAAAATTTGTGCGAATTATTTGCGGTTTATCAAAGTCACCAGTAAAATGATGTTAAAGCAATAACTTGGAGATAATTGAGTCTAAGACACGCGTTGGAGTAATTTTTTTGTGTAAAGTTGTACGCTGTTTTGTCATTTACACGGCGTTGTGCCGGCTCAAATCTGTGTTATAATGGAAAATACGATTGAAGTATTTTTATATGAAATGTGCATTTTTTATCATGCATTAGAACATCATATTTATTGGCTGATATTGTTGTTTATATTACAAAATAAACAATATAGTTTCCTTATTGTAAGCTTTACATCTATATTTTCTACAAAAGACTCATAGAGACAACAGCTAAATATGTTTTGAGCCATCTTCATAATATTGACAGCAGAAAAGGTTCTTTACCACGCAATACACATTGAGTGGACAATGCCGCCCTGGCGTATGAGCAACTTTTTAGCATCTATTACACAAATATTATTTTCTTCTTATTTAAACTTTTTTTTTTATCGCAGCACAAACAATAACAACAAAAATTGAGTGACACGAAGGTCAAATGTATGCAGATATCTCTCAAATAAGAAATGGAAATGTAAAAAATTATTTGCAAAATGATGTGCTTTAATGTGTATACACATATGTGGATATGTATGAAAATCAACGTACCATATATATGTATGTATGTGCACACATATGAGTTTCTAGAATAGCCGCTTAACAGCTTAACGTAATCGTATTAGCATTACCAAAGCTCACAGTGGATTTTCTTTTGAATTTTTCTATTTGCGTATGTCAGTAGATATCTGCTACTCAAATGTGGCAATAAAGTCTTCGTATATGAATATATGTATGTTTGTATGTATAACTTCTTCTTCAGTAATATTGTTGTTTTTGCTGTTATTAGCAGACATAATATTATTATTGCATTGGACGACACCAAAAATCTCAGACACTTTGGTGGCGCTTCAGTTTCAAGTCACAGACAGTCTTGCATTTGAATTTCTTTGCTGTGATTTTCACGAGAAAGAAAGCTGCCTTAAGCTAGCGCATAAGAAGAATTGGTGTGAAATTTATGTGTAATCGCGAATTCTGTTAATTTGTTAGATGACTCGTGACAAATTGAAGCTCTAGCGGCTTTACTACTTTTTTGTTTACGGATGAAGAAGAAAAGATGCGGTGAAATAAATGTTGTGGAATTTGGTTGAGTTATTTTTTAAAATTTTTTCTTAGAAATACTTGAATGCTATAATGTATTATACTAGTTTGTTACCATGGACATGAAAAAGTAAACTTCAGAGACCCTATATATAGTACATATATCATATGTAAATGCTCAGCGTGACGCGCTGAGTTGATTTAGCGATGTTGGTATGTCCGTCCGTCTGTATATATGTGAATTAAGCACTCACCCGTCATTTTATTATCAAAAAGTTACAAATTTGTCGAAATGGTTTACAATATCATATAGCTACTATACAAACTGAACAATCGGAATAGAGTACTTGTGTGGAAAACATTTTCATTTATCAAGATATCAACAAAATTTGTATGGATTAATGTCCGAGGCAATGCTATAATATGTGAACAAACTGTTCACTTCGGACTATTATAGCATATAGTTGTCATATAAACTGAGCAATCGAAAAAAGTGCGGGTATGGAAAATTTTTTAATTTTACCAAATATATTGATGAAATTTAGAATGTGTTGTTTTTTAAAGCAGTGGAGCAATCTGCGAAGAAATTGTTCAGATCGTGTCATTGTAGCATATAGCTGTCATACAAACTCGCCGATGAAAGTTCTTGTATTAAAGTTTCAGTGCAAGAGATGTTAAATTTTTTGCTTGTTTATTGTAAAATTTCTTTCCTTTTCTGTTGCCTTAATGTCGCTATTCACCTCAAAGAATCGCAATTTAATTTTGGTGGCAAGTTTGGTGAAATTTTCATGTTTTAAGTGTTGCCTGAGGATGCGCACTCAAATAAAAAGCACTTCACAAGAAGATGCGCATCTACACATTAAAATACAAAGCAATCATGAAATAAACGAAAACTCTAACAACAACACAGAATATAAGCACTGAGTTGACTAGAGGCAAAATGGTCCCAGAAACGTGTGCCCACGGAAGCTGAACAATTTTAATTGCAAAGCAAAAGTTCACAAAAAGCAAAAGTAAAACAGAACAGGAAATATATATATTTAAGTTTTACCGCTACCTGCTAATATAGTATATTTGTATTTCAACCGCTACCACACCATTCAAATTTTGAATGAAGTGGAATGTCTAAGCAAAAGCTTAAAAATCGTTTTTCTAAATTAAAACTCATTTCTCATTAAATTTAACTTCCACCAAACACTTCAAAAGCTTAAAGTATCTGAAAATAGCGCAAAACTCGAGGCATTAAAGAAATGAGCACAAAGTCAAATATGCTCAAATACCAGCACACTTTGCGTTCACTTACATACTTATGTACTTAAATACTTATCTGTCTAACTTTCGATATGCTTTTACGAAATTTGAACATCTGCGCGACGCAAAAAATCTCTCAAAGTAAGTCCGTAGGTGCGTATTAGGCAAGAAGGCAATCAACACAGCTGCTATGGCAGCCGTTGGTAATTTTCTTGGCAACACGGTTAAGTATACGCCTGGGTTAATTGTTGGCAAAATAAATCGAAATGCACTCAAACTTTCAGTGCATAAAGCCAAAAAACTGCAATATGCAAAACTTAGTAGTTATTAAGAGCGTACATACAAACACGAAGATATTTTCGGGTGAAAGTTTTTGTGTAATTTGATATCGCGGAATGCAAGTAGGAGCTAAAATTAACTTTGGGCTTTCACTTTTAATGGGGAAACATAAATACTCAAAAATATGTGTTGGTAATTTACATGTAGTAGTAAATAATTTCAGTATTAAATTAGAATAATCTCACAATGGCTGGACTTGCGGAAAGTTAGAAAATTTTTTTTCACAAAGTAGAGACTGCCTAAAAAATATGCGCTTTTGATCGTTTTGAATTAAAAAAAATAGTAAACAATCAAATTTGGCGATATGGGTAGTTACAGATACAGATACAGACAAATCTCTAAAAAGTATTTTCTAAAATGTTCAGCTAAATCGGCACAATAGAACTCGAGAAATCGAGGATATCGTTTTGAAAGTTTAAGGCGCAGCTTAAAGAAAACGTATTCAAAGCTTC